TCTCCACCACAGCTTCCACAGGGACAGGTGAGCAGGTGGGGGGATAAGGCACTAGTTTGCCTCTGCTTCACAGCAAAGCAAAGTGCTGACACCCCCAGGTGATTGTATCTCCCTCCTCTCCATGTCCAGGTGCACACACTAACCCTTCACAGTGGGTCCCAACATCTCCTCCTCCCTCTGGAATCTGGGAGCCAACAGCAGCACCTGCTTGGTGGAGGCTCTCCACCCCTGCAAGAGGCAGGGATCCGAAACCAGAGAGCTGCCAGGTACATCCATGTCAGCTCAGGACCACAAAAAGCCTGTAGGAAGGAGCTGGAGAGCTGTTCCCAGTCCCAGCTCAGCTCTGGGCACAGCATTGGCTCAGACACTAACACTGTCACAACCTGTCTGACTGCCTGGAGCAGAGGGAAGCGAAGGGATCCCAATCCACGGCCTCTCAGACCCGTTTTGCTCTGAGGAAAAGGCCAGGAGATGGCAGGCTGAAAGCAATCTCTTCCCATGGCAGGAAAAGCTGGGAAGGAGCACAAGGCACACTGCTGGCACCCAGTTGAGAAGTGCCTCCTCAGTATTCCAGTCCTAATTCCAGAAATAAAAGGGTTGTGAAACTACTGCTTGATGCCCAGCAGCTCCTGTTTAACCAATTCTGCCTCTGATCTCCCACATTTCCACAGCTCATCTCCAGGGATTCTGCCGAGGAGCTCTGTCAGCAGCCACATGCTGCAAAGCAGGGAATATTCTGCTGAGAGTTGCCCAAGGGCTGGATCCTGCCATGGGAAAAGAGCCCCCGAGTGCTTCCACCCCCATGGAATAAACATGAGATATGGAGAGCAGTGGGTTTGGTGGTTTTTTTCTCCCAAGTGACAATTCCTTTGCCTTTTTTTTTTTTTCTTTCTCACAAGCTGTTTCTAATCACTTGCCATTATATAAAGCCTGGAAAGCAACTGGGTTCTGCTCTCAGGGGAAACCTGAAGGAAAATTACAGGAAGAGCCAAAATGCAGCTCCTCTCCCGCTTTGCTTCGCACACACTGGGACAGATCTTCAAATAAATGCTCCCAGCACTCCATGAATCAGTCCTGGAGGTGGCTGCAGCACCCAGAGCCAGCACAGCCCTGTGCATGATGGCAACAGGATCCTGGGACATGCCGTGGGCACCTCCAGACTGGGAGAGGAAGGTGTAGTTTCAAAGGCTGAGTGCTGGGACACAGCCTGGGAGCCTGGACACGGCCTGGATGTGCCTACTCAGCACAAACATCCCTTGGGAAGCTGCTGCCAGGAACAGGTCACCTGTGATGCCCCATGGGACCATCCCCTGTGTGTGGGCTGTGCTGTGCCAGCTGAAGCAGGCAGAGACTTGGGATCCTAATTCCCTTTGGCTCCCGACACCTTGAGCTGTTCCCAGCAGCTCTGGAGCTGCAGGCCCGGCTCGGGCTCCTGTTTGCTCCCGGCTCAGTGAATCACTCTGAAAGAACATCGTGGGCAGATCCCAATTAAGAGTCTTTGTCTGACGAGGTAACTGCGTGTCTGATGAGACTAATTGGTGACACCCTTGCCTGGCCCTCCTCCTTGGAAAGCAAGGCACAGTGCCAGGAGGTTCACCCCGAGGATCCTCAGGGCTGGGAGGGATGTTGGGAGCAGAAGGGAATGGCAACACTACTTGGGGCACAGCAGGGGAGAGAAAACCACAAGAAATCAGGAGTTTGAGTTGCAGGGCCTGGGAGCAAACACTGTCCTTACTCCCAGGTAAGTGCTGAAGGGATGGGAGAGCTGATGGTGCAAAAGCAGGTGATGAAACAGGTGGTACCGAAAACATGGTGCCAACCATATCCTGTTTTAACCAGAGCATCACAAGCCCCAGTTCCCCAGCCCAAAACTGCCTGCCAAGTGCACAGGGAAGCAGCCCCTGCCTGGGGAAGCAGCTCCATACCTGCTCGGGATGTCCTGCTGGCAGTGCTGCCCTTGCTGCTCCCGATGCTGTCTCCCCGGGTGAGGATGGAGATGCCACTGAAGCTGCTGGCCTTGGTGACGGGTGGCCGCAGGCTGCGGATGGAGCCGTCGGAGTCGGTGCTGCTCCAGGGCCGCGGCTCCAGGGACTTCATCTCGCTCTCGGTGCTGCTCTGGCGGCTGCTCGAGGCCCGGCCCAGCCCGTCCCGGTTGCCCCTGCAGAGACCAGAGAGTCAGGCTGAGGCCCCAGGGAAGGGGCAGCAGCAGGAGCTGCTGGTGCTGCACCAGTATGGCCAATGCAGGGGGGACAGCCAGCAGCTGGGGCTGGGAGCCTTGGGGGGGTTTGACAGCAAACACCCCTCAGGGCACAGCTCTTTGGGCATCACCATGCAGGCCCAGCCACTGCAGATCTCCCCCCTCTAGGCCCTTCCCAGCCAGATCCCAGCCTGGAAGGGACCCCAGCAGGGTCACAGCAGGATCCGACCACAGCACTGAGCCTGGTTTATCAGCCTAGCCAAGGGCTCCATCTCTGCCTAGAACCACCCCAAAAGCAGTTAACCCGAGCTCTCCAGGGCCTGGGCACCAAAGGCAGGGAAGGTCCTGGCAAAGCTCTGGCTGCAGCTCAGCTCCCAAAGCTGCAGCTACCTCAGCAACAGGGTTTTGCCACGTTCTGGGTGAGTGTTACTACAACCCCCTGCATCTGAGAACTGTCCCCACTGTCCTGAGCACGGTTGCCAATGACAGACTCCAGGACACAGTCCCTGTGACTGTGTGAGGACACTAGATTTTCCAGGACAGCCTGAGGCAGGTGACAACCCGAGGCCAGGGACAAAGCTGCTCCTGACTCGCTCAGATCCTCTTGTCCTGTCCCACACAGAGCTGCCTCACCTTCAGAGCTTTGGCTATGAGAGGAGAGCACAGCAGGGATGAGTCTTTCTCCCTTTTCATCCTGTTCTTTATCCTCACACCTCGGCAGCCTCTGGCTGCGAGGTCTGTGCCGGGTGACTCATCAGCCTGACTCCAGCCCTTTCATCCATGGGAAAACTACTTAATAAGAAAATGCAGCTCAAACATGCTCCCAGTGCCCTCAGCAGCTCCTCTGGCTGAGATGGAGCCTGAGACACTTCACTGCCACCATTAAGTATTCCAGCCTTGATAATCAGGGATTAGGGACAACCCTGCCTGATTCTGATGCTGATCCTGGCACTGTGAGGACAGGGATTTCAAATCCCTTTGGGAAACAAGAGGTGGAATGGTTTGAAAACTGCTGGAATTCCTCCCTGTCATCCCCACCCTCCTTTTTAACTGATGAATCAGCCGAAAAAGGACTCAAAATTGATGTTGCAAAGAAAACACCTTCAGTAACCCCACGAGCAGTCATGCATGGAGGGACCAACTCAGCAGAACAAAATAAATCACACACAGATACCTAAAAATCTGCCTCCATGTGTGAGAGCTACAAGCAAAGACTTCTGTGGAGAGTCTGTTGGTCAGCATCAGAGAAAAGCATCATTGTAGAGTCATGCAGGGCTCCAGAGACACATACACAGGCTGCTGGGTAGCACTCACCTGCTGTCCATGATGTATCCATTCTGGCCAGACTGGGAGCACGAACAGGGAGATGGGAAGAAGAGAAAAAGGAGACTTAGTAACTCAGAAAGAACAAACCCAGGTGAATTTAAAGCATGGGGCTGGACACAGTGTGTGTACAGGTACACAGTCACTCAGGTGTGGTGCCAAGCCTTGTGCACACCAGTTCCCTGTGCATCTCCATCCTGGCCCTTGGGAACCTTCCCTGGTACCTCTGACCCTGAGATCTCTCAAGTCTGAGTCCTCAGCTCCCTCCTCCGTTGCTCTGAGGCAGCTCTGTGGTACCTTTGTCCATGTGACAATCAAGGCCAGACATACAAGGGTCCTTATGCACTAAATGCAGCACCCAGAGCCAGAAAAACCAGGCATGGGCTCACAAAACAAATCCATGCTCACACTTGGCTGGAGAGTTGTAGAGTCACCAGCTGCATCCTGGTGACCTGAGCAGGGACTCAGCCATGTGGCAGCCTCAACCTCCTCCTCGGGCAGGCGTGTGGCCACTCCCATGGGGACACATGAAACACCTCGTCCCCAAGGTGCTCAAAGCAGCAGGCAAGGAGCTGGACTTGGAACAGGCCCCATGGCAGAAGACCACTGGGAATCACTCGATTCTATCAGTTCTGCTTGGCACAGTATGGAGCTGCCCCCAGCTGGTAGAGCAGTGCTCCCTGGAGCAGCCTCCGAGCCAGACACGAGCACAGGACATGGCTCCAGCTAAGAGGAGCTCCATGGAGAGATCAGGGATCCCAGGAGGCAACAGCTACTTCATAAGACAGACAAATGTCCTGCCCAGATGCCTCTTGCAAAGGCAGAGCTCTGCACTCTTGGGTCAGGAGGTGGAAACTGCCGTGCTAGGGAGATGCTGGGGGATGCAGCTGCTGCTCCTTTTGGGTCAGCAACTGGAATTTTGGTTGTCCCAGTAATGTCACTGCTTAAGCTCATCATTATGGGCAGCAAGAAGGTGAACTGCCTCCTGTGTCACCTCTGTTGTTCCCTGGAATTTTAGGGAGGAGCAGACCGGGGAGTGCAGGTGTGGCTCCTCTGCCCCAGTATTTCAGACATTGTTGATGGGAGCTGGAATTTACTGGCAGATCCCAAAACCACTTGGAAAGTGGTAGAAAAGGCAATGACAAGATCTGACCTCTCAGCACACTCAAGGTCACCTTCTGCCACACAGCTCCAGGAGGTTCCTGGCAGGAGTGGTCTGAGCTTACCTCTCGTGCAAAAATCCGCTCCCTGACCCGCTGGTACTCCTCCTCGCGCTCTTCGATGGATTTGCTCCTTCTCCCATCCTGCAAGGGGAGTCTGATCTGAAGGGACAAACACAGCTCAGGGGTCAGCAGTTGCAGTGGGAGCAGGGGGAGCAGTCAGCTGCTGGGAGCTTGGGTAGGACGTGGATTACGGAGTGCGTGTGGTGCCTGGATGCAGTGACACAGCCTCTGCTGCTGGATGGATCATCCACCTCCTGCTTCGAGCACAACCACCCTGTCTGATCCAGTGATCAGGAATATCACCAACAGTCTGTTCCCAGGGTGAAAAGCTAAAGGCCACCCTCTGAAGCATGTGCCAACACTCCTGCTTCCTCATGGATTCTGCACTCCCTGAGCAGCTGCACCCGAGTGCCACCATGGGGAACCCAAAAACTGGGACTGATCGCACCAACCGGTTCCTCATCCTGACTTAAATCCAGGAACATGCCCCAGAGCACAGGACAGTGCTGGGGTGATGTGACTCTGGGTTTAGATTGGATATTGGGAAGAAATCCCTCCCTATGAGGGTGGTGAGGCACTGGTGAGGTTGCATGATGCTGCTTGGGTGGGGTGGGAGCTCCTGTTAAATGTTATTGCAGGAAACCCAAGAGAATTTTGGAGTTGTTCTTGCCTTAGACAGGTCACATTTGAGCTTCCCAAAGTATTCAGACATCCACTGCCATCCTCACCTGGTTATCATCCCGATCCATGCTGGTGTCATCCCGTTTCAGGATAAACCTCTGCGGGAACTCTGCATTCTTCTCATCTTTGATGTGCTCAGAGAACCTCTGCTCAGGGCTGCAGGAAAACCAGTGGTTAGGAGGGCAAAAACAGGCACAGAACACGCAAAGACGTTTGTTGTGTGGAATTTCAGCTCTGGCTGATGGCAACAAGAGCTTCTAGGAAAGTGGAAAGAGAAGGGGAAGAAAAGAGCTCCCTCCCCTTACATTCGGGTGTTACTGGTCTTGTTGATGATCACAGCCTTCCCAGTCTGGTCCACGTTGTGGTCCATGCCGAAATAGGCCGCGACGCGGTGCAGCAGCATCCGATGGTACGAAGTCATCTGGGGGAATTTCTTGAACTGATTGCTGGGAAGAGGTGGGACAGGGTTAGAATTCCAAGCAGTCAGTCACGTCAGGATGTACAAGAGAACAGGTCTCCTCACCAGCATGTCCAGACGACATTCCCTTCTCCCTTGGGAGCCCAAATTCCTCAACTCTTATGTTACAAACCTCTTTTCCTTGACACAACTCCATGATCACTTACTTGTTATCACTAATAAATTCCAGAATCTCCTGCTCCAACTTGAGTAGCATCATTCTATCCCTGTCCAGAAAAAAAAAGAACAGGCCACTTTAGGGAGAGTGAAAAGTTTTCCCTGCTTCCAACCCTTCCCTGCCAACAGGGAAAGTCACAAACACCTGGAGCAAGTGACACTCGACACAACTAACATGGTTGATATTGGACAATCAGACACGGAAAAGGGTTTAAAGCAACCGAAACTCCTTCCTTGCATTCAAACAAATTATTTTTCCTCTTTCTCTCCCCACTACACACAATTCCATGTTTGGAATTAAACAGGATATAAAATGACAGTTGTGCTTTTTTGTTTCTACACTGCCCTAGCTCTGGTAACACTCCTGGAATTCCAAAAATGGAGAACACAAACACATTCACAGGTCCTGTCTGGAGGTGCTGCATTCCCCTGGGACACAGGAACACCCAAAGACAGGTGTCAGTCCCCAGGTTCCCCTCCACCACCCCTCAGGGAATTGTTTCCCTGACCAAGACCTACCGTGGGTTTTTTTTCAGTGTATTTACTAAAAATTCATGCAAATCTATTCCAGTGGAGTCTGTATATTCCTGGCTGGAATCTGAAACAAGAAGAAAAGCAGAACATATTAACAAACCACTGAAACAGCATGGACAAAGGGAAAGGAACGGCAAGGAGAAGGGCCTGGAGTGCCAGGACAAGGGGGAACAGCTTCTCACTGCCAGAGGGCAGGGTTAGATGGGATATTGGGAAGGAATTCCTCCCTGTCAGGGTGGAGAGCCACTGGCACAGGTTGCCCAGAGAAGCTGTGGCAGCCCCACCCCCAAAAGTGTTCCAGACCAGGTTGGAAGGGGCTTGAAGCAATCTGGTCTGGTGGAAGGTGTCCCTGCCCACGGCACGGGGTGGAATGAGATGAGCTTTAAGGTCACTTCTCACAGAAACCATTCCATGATGTTATCAACCCCACAGTCCCACACAGACAGCAACAGGGACAACTGCTCTGTCCAACACCTGCACCACTGCCAGAGAATCCTTAGAACAGGTGAGCAGCCCCTGCCCCATTCCAAGCAGCCCCTGACCTCGAGAGAGCATTTTCCTAGGTGTTTTTTCTTTATTCTTGTCTTTTTCTTCCTTTTCCACCCCATCTTTCGTGGACTTTTCCTCTTCCTTGTCAGAGGGGCAGCTCACGTGCAGCTGGATGACATCCTGGAACAGAACAAGCAGGTGGTTGGAGTCCCTCAGACATTCCCTGAGCCATGGCTGTGGCTGGAGATAGAAGCACCATGGGGAGGTCTCAGACATGAGACAATCCATAAGACCAACAGAAAAACCCACTCTGAGAGCTGACAGAGCTCTCTCTCTCCCCACTCTCCTTTCACAGAGCCTTCAGCAGGCTCTGAGGGGTCTCCACCCACATGAGCAGTGCTGCCAGGCACAGCCACTTGCTTCATAACCAGCTCTTGTGGCAATTTCTTGGCTCTCCAAGGCACAGGCCCCTGACAGGACATCACTTCTAGCAAGATGTGGATTTTCTGGGCTTCCACACTCCCAAACTTGTCTCATTCTGGGCCTACCTGGGATTCCAGCAGCCCATCCACAAAGGGGCCCGAGGATTCCTCACACACAGCCAAACTCCTGACCAGTTTTAGCTTTGAATTAGACTGGAGAAGGAAAAGAAAGAGAGAGGTTAAGTCACCTTGGCCAAGACACACTTGAGTTCCTGCAGTTGCATTCCCAAGCCACTTGTACAGTCATTCCCAATTAAACTGCTCAGTAACAGAATATACAGGAATACACAGGGATATACAGAAATATACAAAGGCTCAGAGTCCCTGAGCAATCAGCTATTTTCTTCCTTCAGCCTTTGAACAAAATGTTAGGAGGGAAAGTTCCCTGCTCTGATGTTCAGTCAGAGCAATTCCAGCCTTTCCCCTGTCAGAATGGAACATTCTCCATGGAAATTCCTGTCCTGAGCCATCATCTGCTCATGGGGCTTCTGGAGACAGGAAAGGCTTGGGAGCACAGCCTGAGGCTGGAATCAGGACTGGGATCAGGGCTCAGCTCAGAACTGCCCACAGAAAATCAGGATGTCAGCAGAGGTCCTACCTTGGCTCTTTTCCTGGCGTGTCCATGACTTGAGGTTCGCCTCTGTGGAGAAAGGAAAGGAAAGAATCTTAACCTGGAAGTTTTGTGCCATTCCCAGGAGGATACAAAGGGGTTCTGACCCAGTGGATCACCACAGAGATGCTGCTACTCTGGTCTAGGAGCCACCAAATGACCTGTGAGCCCAGAAATCACTCCAAAGTGCCTGGTCAGGCCCTCTCTGAGCAGTGCTGTCTCTGCCTATGCAGCTGTGAGCACATCTGTGCCTGCCCACAGCTGTAAAGGCAGCAGCATCCAGCAGGTAGTTGAGGGTGGGAACTGCTTCAAGCTCAACACAGAGCCAAAAGCACAGGTGACAGGAGAGCAGAGTAGTGGGGATGAGTCCCAGCACCCCTTAGTGATGCTTGCACAGTATTTTTTCCTTGTTGGAATGAAACCCCAAACCAATCCCATTCTATCTGGGTGTTTTTCACAGCAGCAAAGCAATAGCCAAGCAGTATACCCAAAACCAAGCTCTCCCTGGATGCCTTCACTGGACATGAAGTCATTAACTGATCCTCAAACAAAGGAGTTAGAGGAAGGTGACAGCAGTGGCACCAGAACTTGAGGACTGAGCACAGGTGCCCCAGGGAAGATTCCAATTATTCCACTCTGAGCAGAACAGATTTAGCTAAAGAGAAAAGGAACAGGCTGGGAAGACCAGAGGCTGCTCAGGGTGGTGTCCCTGGGGAGGAGGTGGCACAGCCTCAGGTCCCTTTTCCAAGGGACAGGAACCAGCAGGTGAAGGCTCAGCTCTCCTTGTCTACACTCACCTGAGACTCCTGACGCACGCTGACCTCCTCCCCCCCATCCTTCTCCACCTCCTCCTTGCTTGGTGACCTGGATACATATTTGGTTTTGTTCACAGATTCCTCAACCACCTTTTTTTCTGATTCCTTCATAATTTCCAGAGACTCCTGTGCCGTGTTGCTGTTGGACATCTTCAGAGCCCTACAATGCAGCAATGGGCACCTGCAGGAGAGCGGACAGGACAGGTAGGAGGGAATCAGGAGGTGGAGAGGCTCTCCCTGAGCACAAACTCTTGCACATCCAGGCTGTAACTTCCTTGGAACCCACCTTGTGTGCAGACCACAAACCAAGCACTTGGATGACACCCACCTGCTCATCCCTGGGGTGCAGCCCCCAGCTCGAGGAGTCCTGGCAGGAGGTATATGGACCTCACAATGATTTGGGAGGCATCAGCAGGGCTGGACAAAGTCCCTGAGGTAGACAGAGGTCCCCAGGCAGGTACCTGATGCGAGGGAGACCGAGGGCAGCCCTAAACCAGCAAACATCCCACAGGTGAAATAACCTCCAGCAAGAAGAACCTGAGCAAGGGCCAGACCAGCTCCACAGGGCTGTGGAGGGATGTGACACCAGGAAACACATGTGGAGAGAGAAGTTTCCAAACAGAAAAGGAGAAACTAAATTTGGAGCCAGGCTCAAAGAAAACACCTGAGTACTAGAAAACACATCTGATGTTTAACAACTCATTTCTAATTCCTTTGGCAGAATAAGGCTGAAACAGTCAGATCTCAGAGAGATTTATCAACTCTTGGCTCCACACAGGAACTGCTGATATTCCTGAACTATTCCAACCTCATTCCCTTTAATTTGTGGAGCGGCTGAACATAAAACATATACTTGACATTAATGCAGCTACTGGAATCGGTTCCAGGCACAGAAAGCAGAAGAGTGCAGTGAACAGCCTCTTTTCCATAGATTCTTATAGGGGTTTGGAACAAACCTGTGGGGATGCAGAGGGAAGGTGCTCTGGGGCCACCTGGAACTGCTGTGTGCTCCAGGCAAACCCAATCCCGAGGGAGGATGGGGCAGAAGACAAGAAATCAGCTTCCTTCACCCATCATCACCTCCTTAAGCCTTACCATGAGTTGTTCCCTCACTGTCAGTCCAGAGACAGAGATGGGACAACCAGGAAAGGAAAAAGCTACCTAACTCCAGGCTAAGCAGCACCTTACTGTGTGGGAAATGTCCCTAATGACTCCAGAAAATTCATGGGAAAAGGGTACAGGGAAAGCCTCTATCCTCCCACTGCAAGGGTCTGCTCCTCATCCCACAGGCTGGTCTCCAGCAGCAGAATTCCCAGGAATGCTGCACAGGGTGATATGCTCCATGTGAGGAAATCCCACTCTGCTGCGGCGCTCCCACAGGAATTAGGTCAGGAAGGGAAAGGGAGCACTTGCCTGATGTGCCTCCTTCATGGGAGGATTGTGCAGGGGGTGAGGACGGTAAACTCTACCTTCCCCCTCCCCCAAAACATTCCATACTGTAGGAACCTGCTCCAGCCTTGTGCCCAGGCTGGGGGCTTAAACATTCCAGGAGGATCGGGAGCAGGTTTGGGGAGGGGAGGGAGGAGGCATCACCGGAACTGCACATGCAACGCTCAGATAAAGGAATACGTTTTGCACAGCTCATTCCCTTTGCACCACCCACCCTCTAACAAGCTTCTCCCCCCAAGCCAAACACCCCAGCCCAATTTAAGAAGGATAACGGGATCTTTTCCCATCATGCGCAGCATCACACAGGGAATATCATCAGATTTTCCAGAAAAGACAACTCAGAGCCACGGAATTGACATTTATCAGCTGCCCCCTCCTGCTTCAGCTTCCGTCCCTGCAGCCAGCCTCCAGGATACTTCCCTGCGCTCAGAATTCAGGGAAGATCCGTGCACTGCTTCTCTGCTGCCTTCCCAAGGAGGATTCCTTGCGGGATGAATGAATCAGCCGTGGGACGCGGCGAGGGGGCGGCAGACACGAGCGGCAGTGACAGACAGCGGCGTGCGGAGAGTGGGGAAGTTCACAGGACTCGGGGGTGGGTGGGACTCAGCTGGGCCTTGGGAGAGGGAAAAATTACATGGATTCAACACCACAGAAGCCACACAATCTGTGCCAAAGAAGGAAATGGAGCAGAGGTGGGAGAAGGTGGAAAGGAGGTGGCTGAGGTGCTGATGGTGTTTTGGTTTGGGGCTGGCAGAGCAACTGGGCCAGTCACAGCAGTGACTGGGCACACAGGGAATGCTGGCCAAGGGCCAGGGAGCCTGGACATATTTATATCCTCCTCTTCACTCCAAAGGAGAACATGGAATTCCTCTGTTGCCTTCTTACCACCCGCAGTTTGCAGCTGCCAAGTCCTGGGAATGCAGCAGCAGCTCCTGCTTGGGCAAGGAATTAGACCAAGAAAGTCCCACATTTCCAGTTTGGATGGATCCGGCAGCAAATCTAGGAAAGGCAGGAAGCTCCTGCTAAATAAACTCTCCTTCTGGCCTTGTTTCTGAGGGAACAGACCTGCTCCTGAGCTAAATGAGGGTGCAAAGGAGACATATGGCTGCCAGCACGGCTGCCTACACACAGCTCCGGTGGTCCTGCCCACGGCACGGGGTGGAGGTGGGGATGGAGGGATCTGAGGTGGCTCAGCACTGGAACAGCTCCCCAGGGCAGTGGTCATGGCCCCAAGCCTGATACAGCTCAAGGAGCATTTGGACAAGGGTCTCAGGCACAGGGTGGGATTATGGGGTGTCCTGTGCAGGGCCTGGAGTTAGACTTCAATGATCCCTGGGGGCTCTTACAACTCAGGAGATTCTATGATGCCAAGAGTGAGCTTCACCTTCCCAGCCCCTGCCCAAGCCATGGGAGACAGTGCTCATGCCACAGCCTTCCCACCTGGCTTCCAAGACAAGATTCCTGACTGCCTTCCCTCCATCTCCTCCCTTGGTCATTAACCAGGTCCGGTTTGGCTTTCCCAGACTCACTCCAAAGGCCATTCACACGGTGGGAGTGGAACGGGTTGGCCTCCTCCCAACCCAAGCCGTTCCCTGATTCTCCCAGCACCCCGGAGCTCCCCTCTCCCGGTGGCTCTGGGGGCAGCAGCACCCACAACCCACCACCTCCCTCCGCTGGGTACCAGTGATGCTCTCGCAAGCAATTCGCTCATTGGCTGCGCGGCAGCCAATGGGAGGCCGAGCTCCATGGCAACGAGCCCTGTCGCCAGGAGCAACCGGGCGGGGGTGACTCAGGTCCCCCCTCCCCAGCGCGGCAGAGCCTGCGGAAAAGGGTTTGCACAGGAAAAAGTGGAGGCGGTGGGGTGGCGAGGGGGCTGTGACTCCAGGCACGAAGCCCCCGGGCTCTGCCGGGCGCTCTCCACGCCCAGAGGTCATTCCGGAGGCTCTTGCTCGGCCAGGGAACAGCGGCTGGGACAATCCTGGCTGTGTTCAGGGGCACTTGCCAGGTACAGCAAGAGGCTGGGCCGGAAGGATTTGTTAGTGCAACCAAAGATCTCAAAACATCTCCCTCCTGGACTCCACTCGGGCTCCCAGTCTGCTCTGGAAAGCATCACTGCACCGGCACAGCTGTCTGGAGCAGCTCCAGCATCCCAGGAACAGTCAGCTGGAAAGCTGACAGGTAAAGAGCCTTTGGAGCTCATTCTCTTCCCTCTTGTGGGAGAAAGCAACTCTTGCTCAGAGGAATAGCTCTTGCCAGGACAAACACCTGGGTCAGTGGGAAACCCCAAACCCAGCAACACTCACAAGCTCCAACTTCAAGGCCACCTCCCATGAATTCTTTTCACTGCTTTCCTTATTATCAGTTGGAGAGGGATTTAATGGCTCACTACCTCTCAGTCCCTACAAAACCCAGCAAAATTCCCAACAGGAGGCCAAACGTCTTTGCCTGCAGAGTCCCAGTGCTTAGTCATTGCTTTAAATCTTAATCTCCACCCCCACATGACATCAAATTCTGAAATTATGATGCAGTTGGAAGGGTTTGACTCCAGGTGAAAAGGGGAAATAACCTTATATGAACAAGGAGGAAGGAAATGCAGGTGAGAATCTGTGTCCGAGTGAATTCTGTGAAGGTTTTGCTGTGGAGAACAGCTCAAAGCACAAGATAATTTCAGGGGGGATAAAATACTCAGATATTTTGTTACCTCCCTCCAACAATGCAAGGACTGAGCTCAAGAGAGGTGTCAACTTGCCCTCACTGTACTCCAGGAGTGTGACACAACCAGTGGCAGGACCGGATGCTCCCCTCAGGTGGGAAAAGGGATACTAAAGGTTTGCTGTTAAAAAAAAACAGAACAATGATGCTGTTCTTTTTCCTTTGATTTTTGGAAGCTGCAGCAAGGCCAAGTGAGAACCCTTCTCACTCCTGGTTTACAACATCTGAGGGAGGAAAAAAAACCCCAAAACACCCCAAACCAAACCAGTTACAAAGTGAAGGATCACAAGAGACATCAGTGACACAGCCCTGGGGAAGGAAGGGCTCACGCTCGTTCCCAACACAGTGCTGAGGGGTTGTGGGAACTTCCTGAGGGTGCCCAGGCAGAACAGTGGGAGAAAGGACAGAAATCCAGGGTGAGAATTCCCCACCAGAGCTCCTTGCTCCATTTCACACTGCTTTTCCCATCCCCATCACGAGCTATTCCTGTATCCATCCAAAGACTAGGGAACTGCTCCGGTGACGTCAAAGCAGTTTCCCAGCAACAATTAATGAGGGCTGTCCACCACAGGGGTTTCCTGAAAAGCTAGCAAGGAATTATCCACCTACTTTCCACAGTGTCAGGATGCAATAGGACAGCATTGAACAGGGATTTCTGTTAACCCTTCCATGGCTCAGGGAAAACCCTGGCACAGCTCCTACCAACACACTCCCAAGACTTTGAGAGAACCCCGAACATAATTCCTTCCATCTGAATCCATCCATAACAGAACACCTCATCAGGTTGGAGGCACCTGCACACAGAGGTGACAACCAGGCTCAGGAAAACAAGGAAAACACCTCTTCTCCTACTGGCACCCGCTTCCACGCTGAGACTGTGCCAGGCGGGAGCACACTGAAAAGCTGGATGAGGGAACGAGGCATTCCCTCACCTTCCAGAGCCAACCTGGTCAGCAAAGCATCCCCAAACTTCACTGTTCAGCCCCAAA